TAATTTTAGTAAATTTAGCTTTTTTATTTAAAATTTTTAAATTTAATTATCAATTTTTAAAAAAATTAATTAAAAAAATAAATTTTTAAACAAATTCTTAAAAAACTATCTCACACTATCTTTTTCTTTTAAAATGGGTAATTAGCGTATTTTAGCACGTGCTAGGGACCATAAATGTAATAAAGATTTTGGATTAGAAGGGCCTGCTTGGATAAGATAACGAAATACAGTTTCTCTTCTCCCCGGTTTCCTCCTCTCCATATCCTTCTCCTCTTTCTTTCTCCCTCTTTCTCCTTTAACAGTATCAAGTTCAAGTCCCTTCCCTTTTTTGGCCTTCTCAGTAATCTCCACCGTCCTCTTCAACTCCTGCACGGTGATTTGAAGGTTTGCCAACTTTTGTGCCTCGGAATCTAGCCTTTCTAGAATCTTCCTCCTGCTTCCTTCCTGGTCAGGCTCTGCCGCCTCTGCGTATCTCTTTGGGACCTCTAATTTGTCTACACCCAACTCCTTCGCCAGAGATTCCGTGGAGAGATTTTCTTTCTTTTTTTTATTCCCTTTGAAATTTGGGTAAATTAAGTTATTCTGGTTTTAACATCTGAGAATAAGAATGACTACTTAATTATAGAGTTAATTAGTAGGAGATGAGTTGAATTAGAATTGGAATTGGAGGAATTTTCCCCTCCAAAAGTATGAATGTTGCATATTGATTTTGTATTGAGGATGATAAGTTACAATGTTTTGAGATTTAGTGGTCTGTATAACATAACCTTCATTTTGTAATTTTTTTTTATTAAAAAAAAGTATAAATAGATATATGATAATTTAATTAAAAAATAATTGACATAAAATGATTTTAAATATAATAATTTTAAAATATAACTTAATATATTATATAATTAATTCTTTTTAATTAAAGGGTGATCCACAACTCCATCAAGGCCACATGACATGGCGTGTGGTGTTAGATCACATTATGTGAACATTCCACTTTCCTAACGGCATATAGGACCAAAATGATATAGAATCGTAACTTTCTAGAGAAAATAGGAGAAAATGAACGTTACAGACCAAATCACTACTGTACCAATAGTTCATGGACTGAAAATACAATTTAGCGTTTCTGTCTTTTTTCTTTCACTTTCTCGCTCGTCAAACACAAACTTCGGAGTCTGGATTTTATTTTTCCTTTCAAAAAGAAAGAAAACACGAAGTTTGAGTGGGAAAATGAGCTCAAATCAACATTGTTCTTAGCAAATTTTGCTAGTCATCGAGCTGCTGCAAAAATCTTGAATCAGTGAAAACGTCGGAAGATCCAAGTAGTATAGATTCTAGTGGCTCCTTCCAAGCAATTAAAGAAGACAAAGAGAACATCGAAGAAATTAAAGAAACCCAAGAGCATAAGCGTAGTTCCTTCAGAACCCAGAACCATTGAATTGGACTGGTGGGATAGTTTCTGGCACAAGAACTGTACAATCCCAGGTTCCCATTTCTGTACTTTATTCTTTAGTATTTCATTTTTTTTCCCCATGTTGTCGAAAAAACTTCTGCAATTTCACGAGATTAAAATCTATGGGTTTTGTAGTTTTAGGTAAATTCCCTGTTTTGAAATAGAAAACAAATTCTCTGTGCTTGCATGTGTGAAGCGAGTGTTTAAAAGGTCTGAATTGAATAGAACCAGAAAATTGAATGACATACTGGGAAAAAAGTTTGGATATTGAT